TTCAAAAACTAGTTGGAATGTATTGCAGAAATTCAGATGGCAGGCATTTATGATTTTATCCAGGGGAAAAGTACTAGAAATGGAAGAAGAAAATAAAAGATAATGCAAGTTTTCTGTGAGACATGGTTAACAAAAAGTCATTGAAAACTAGCAAAATTAGTTGATTTACATTTTTTAACATTAAAGGCAAAGTCTATCTGGTTAAACAGGCTACTACCTACTGAAATGCTTTTTGTTGCCTGGTATTCATGATTGACTTATATGTTAGAAATGACAGAAAATGAGAAATTCCTTTTGTACTTTTTAGTTGTGTTTCCTGGGACAAAATATCAAAGCGTGAGTTAATTTGTTTTTTTCTCAATGAAGAGTAGTGACACGGCACAGGCTGATTAAATGAACACTTAAGAATTGTTTCCTCCATGTCTAAACAAGATAAGAGTCGGAGAACTCAAGGGGCTTCCATAACCTTGGAAACTCATGACTGGTGCATAGGGAGATTACTGATGCCATAAACAGGAGTGTCAATTTGTAAAGTCAACAACAGGAGTCACTGTGCACTTACTCCTCATGTAGGATCTCTGTCCTTAATGTGCTGTACATTGAGACTTAATGCTATAACGAGTACTCAAACAGCATATTTCACTTTGTGTTTCTATGGGGGTGCAAACTGTTGAAATCTTTACTTAATGTATACTAAACTGATCTTCTGTAAAAAAAAAAAAAAAAAAAGAAAGAAAGAAAAGAAGAAGAAGAAATTATCAATTCCCAACTTGACTCTCACTGGGATTAAACATAACAATAGGTCTGATCTGATTTCATCATCATTTAAAAAATCATCTATTATTTTTCACTTTATGTTTCTGTGTGGGAGCAAACTGTTGAAATCTTTACTTAATGTATGCTAAACTGATCTTCTGTATATAAAGAGAATCGAAAATGAATCTTGATGTGATTGGAAGGGGAGAGGGAGTGGGAAAGGGAAGGGTTGCGGGTGGGAGGGATGTTATGGGGGGGAAGCCATTGTAATCCATAAGCCGTACTTTGGAAATTTATATTCATTAAATAAAAGTTAAAAAAAAAAGAATTGTTTCCTCTTATCTTAGAATATCCCCAATAGCCTCAGGATTGGGGAACATCTTAAAACACATTTAGTTCAATTCCATATTTGATAAGAGGGTCCCTTTCAAAGCACCCTTATATGCTTCAGTGCACATAATCTGTGATTCTGAAATTACAAAGTGGACACAAAAGACCTGGAGATCTTCTTAAAATATGAATTCAAATTCAATAGTTCTCAGAAGAGATATTTTAATGATTATTAACAAGGGATTTACATTAATAAGTTTTTAATTGTTATGGATACTTGTGTGGGTAGACTACATTTGAGTATCAAAAACATAACATTTTAAAACAATTTCTAGGTAGAATAAGATCATTATTGATTTTTTTAAGATTTTACTTATTTATTTGAGAGAGAGTTACAGACAGAGAGAGGGAGAGACAGAGGGAAAGGTCTTCTGTCTGCTGGTTCACTCCCCAAATGGCCACAACAGCTGGAGCTGAGACCATCTGAAACCAGGAGCTTCCTCTATCCTCCCATGTGGGTGCAGGGGCCCAAGGACTTGGGCTATCTTCTGCTGCTTTCCCAGGCCAGAGCAGAAAGCTGGATTGGAAGTTGAGCAGCTGGGACACGAACCGATGCCCATATGGGATGCTGGCTCCTCAGGCCAGGGCTTTAACCTGCTATGCCACAGCACTGGCCCTCTGATCTTAACTTTGTAGTAGTATGAGTTGTTACTGTATCCAAAATACAGTTTAAATGAAAAGCCATGACTTTATACTTATTATACACTTTACTAAACTTCTAATCCTAGAGAGCACCTAACTTCAAAATTTCTTCAAAAATTCAGAGGTAAGTATTGACTTTTCCTTTTGTATAACTCTTTGAGCAAACCTTAGACAAATGATTGACCTATGTATCTCTCTATACTTCCAGGTGAATTAGCACCATTTATTTAGGTTAAAAATAACAGTGCAATGTGTTTGTATACATGTGCAAATTTTTCCAATTTTTTCATATATCTTTACTACTAATAGACAGATTCCTTATAATAAAAAATTTACATTTGGAAGTGCTACTCCTATTATTACATTAATTTTGGGATGAAGATAAAACTAGGATGTATGATTTTTATAGATGACTGACAGAATCATAAATGACATGTGTAGTTTAACTTTCAATTTAACTTTCATTTAATAAGCATCAGTGATTTTTCACTTACTTTATACCTACTTTTTTTTGTAAAAATAGGGAAAAGAAACATAATACAAATATTATTTTTTAAACTTGTTTCTGGACATAACATTTAAAATAAATGTTTGATTTAGCAATAATATAAATTATTGCCAGTGGAGAGGTCATGAATGTGAATGAGCTAGGAGAATTCTGCATGACTTAAAGCCCATCTAGAAAGAGAGCAAGCTTCTAGTCATGTCATATAAACTATATTTATGCCTTTCAGTTGACTGTTGTGTATTTTTTTATTGTTGGGTTTTATTAATTTATCACAAACACTATTGACAGAAAAATAGTACTCTATCAAGAAATGTCAGACCCTTTATCTGAGGGGCCAGCCTGGAGAGAGACACATGCACCCAGGAGGAAGGAGGAAGACACCCACCTTCTAAACAGATAGGCTGAGTCAGTGCTCATGACCAAGGGGTAACAGATGTCATGGCCAGATTTCCCATACACCCCACTGATATTTATAAACATTTTAAAAACTTACACAACTTTTTTTCTCTGTTCATTGTTCATGCATTACATTTCATTATACAATGAAATAAAAGACAAATGCATGAACATATTGTTTTTAAGTTATTTGTCAATTATCAATTTGGATTCCAGATTTTCTACTACTATTAAGACATTATTGTTTTAATATAAATAATACATAACAGCTTACTCAGTCAAAAATGGCAATATGGATTTCCTATATAGTGGAGCACTTTTGTTTAGAAAAGAATTGTTTCAAAAATATAATAATATTAAAAAACACAAAAAAACTGATGAGTTTTATTCTTTGCATTTAAGCTGTCTGAAATTCTGTGTACTACACAATATACTACAGAAAAATAATATTGGTTACTATACATTTATTTTCAAGAAATCAATTCTATATTATTAGTATGTTGGTATTAAAATAAAGTACCAGGCCGGCGCCGCGGCTCACTAGGCTAAATCCTTCCGCTAGCGCGCGGCACACCGGGTCTAGTCCCGGTCGGGGCTCCGGATCTGTCCCGGTGCCCTCTTCCAGGCCAGCCCTCTGCTGTGGCCCGGGAGTGCAGTGGAGGATGGCCCAGGTGCTTGGACCCTGCACCCAATGGGAGACCAGGAGAAGCACCTGGCTCCTGGCTCCTGGCTCCTGCCATCGGATCAGCGCGGTGCGCCGGCTGCAGCGCGCGGGCCGCGGCGGCCATTGGAGGGTGAACGAACGGCAAAGGAAGACCTTTCTCTCTGTCTCTCTCTCTCACTGTCCACTCTGCCTGTCAAAAAAAATAAAAAAATAAAAAAAAAAAAATAAAGTACCTAGATATCTGTCTCTCTGTCTCTCTCCCTGTGTGTGTGTGTGTGTGTGTATATATATAAAACTAATATTCTTCTAAAGTTAACATTTTTAATCAAAATTTGTTTTAATTGGCACATAATAATTACACATTATATGGAATACAATGAGATGGTTTAATGTATGCATTATATGCTGGTCAAATCAGGATATTTAGCATTTCTATTATTTAGTACATTCACTACTTTATGTACAAAGGTTTAAAATCCTCTCTCCTAACTATTTTAAAATATTCAACACAGAATGTATCCAACATTATGTTATGTTATCTCTTTAAATATGAAATCTAAAGAATTGTATCTCAGGGCCAGCTTTGTGGTTTAGTGGGTAAATCTGCAGCATGCAAAACCAGCATCCCATATGGGCACTAGTTTGAGTCCGGGTTGCCCTACTTCCTATCAAGCTCCTTGCCAATGTGCCTGAGAAAATAGAGGAAGATGGCCCAATGTCCTTGGATTCTTGCACCCAAGTGGGAGACCTGGAAGGGACTCCTGGCTCCTGGCTTCAGCCTGGCCCAGCCCTGGTCATTGTGGACATTTGGATAGAAGTGGATCAAAGATTTCTCTCTCTCTCTCTCTCTCTCTCTCTCTCTCTTTTGTGTGTGTTTGTGTGTGTGGGAGAGAGAGTGTGTGTGTGTCTTCCTCTCTCCATATAAATCTGATTAAAGAAAAAAATGGATCTCAATGGAGTAGCAAGTAAAAAAATGTGAATTAAGGAGAAATGACAAAATAAGAGATTGGTCAATTGGTACAAAGCTATAATAACATAGGGTATGGTGTTCTATCATCTACTGTTTTATAACACAAACTTTCCTTGACAAAAAAAAAAGTCACCTTTTATGAAATAAGGGGTTGGTTTGTTTGTTTGCTTTTATATTGTTATGAGTTTGTAGGGTAACACAAGAATTCTTACTATTTTGAAGAGGAGAATCACGCTCTTCTAAATGTAGTTGCTGAATAGTGGAGCTACTGATTCAAAATAGTCTTCTTTTTTTAAGATTTATTTATTTTACTTGAAAGTCAGAGTTACAGAGAGAGAGAAGACAGAGAGAGAGAGAGAGAGAGAGAGGTCTTCTATTCGATGGTTCACTCCCCAATTGGCTGCAACCGCCAGAGCTGCTCTGATCCAAAGCCAGGAGCCTGGGAGCTAGGAGCTTCCTCCAGGTATCCCACGTGGGTGCAGGAGCCCAAGGACTAGGGCCATCTCCTGCTGCTTTCCCAGGCAATAGCAGAGAGCTGGACAGGAAGTGGAGCAGCCAGGTCTATAACTGGTGCCCACATGGGATACTGGTGCTGCAGGCCAGGGCATTAACCCGCTGTGCCACAGCGCTGGCCCCTCAGAATAGTCTTCTAATGATAATAAGATTGGATGTTTATGCCATGGTAGCATATGTACTAAAATTGAAATGATACAGGCAAGGGCAGCATCGTGCTTGCATAAGAATGACATGAATGTGGTGAAGAATGTTGTATTTATTCTTCAATAAAAATTAGATATGTCATTTTGAAAATGGACTAAATTATACATTTATTCAAATGAGATAAGAATAGTTGTATATACACGAGCACTCATAAAGTAACATCGTTTAAAAAATATTTCTTGACATACAGCCAGAAGACATTTTTAAATTGAAGGTTTTTTCCTTGTTTTTTTTTTTTTTCACTCTACAAGTTAGTTAATTGAAAATACCTTATAAAAACACCCTCATAAATTCAGTTATTTGTCTATTTTGCATTGCCCAAGTTCATTATTTAATTAAAAATTTATCAAAATCCAGCATAAAAACTTTGTTATTGAGATAATAAAAGAAATATTTGCAGAAATGTTTATTGGGAGTTTGGGCAACCAGGGATAGTCAGTAGATAACATTGACAGGCTTCATATGACAGCTAAGTTGTCTCCTGTGGTCAGCTGAATCTTGCTTTAAGCTAATGAGAGGTTATAATGTGCATCTCAGTGATGGCTCAAGGTTGGGACAAGTCAAAATTCAGGGACCTGTAGCTAGTAAAGAAGTCGACTTCAGGACTGGTCTCGACAAAGTTGAGGGTATACAATGGAGCCACAACAGCATAGGGTTACTTTTATGTGTTGTACACTTGTTTATGACTTAATAGTTCACATGGTTTGTGATAATATAATTCATTGGGTTTATATATATTTATGGTATTGGAAAAAAAAATATATATTTGTCATTACTCCCTTGCACACAGCTCATATCATCCTAGTAATTTCCTTAGTGCTAAAGGTGATAGGAATTTGTTTTGTTTTTTTTTTTTGTTTGTTTGTTTGTTTTTTCTAATGAGACAAATCTGAGTGCACTTCTTGATAGCTGCAGAGTAAACTGCCCACAAAAGTTAATCTAGAATTTTGGAATGAGAAGTGTTCAGGCTCAATCTGTAAACTCCAGGGACTAAAGAAGAGCTGGAGTTCGCGTCAATCACCCACGTCTGATGAGTGAAACTTGGGAGTCTCTGTGTGGGAGAACAAATTAACGTTCTGCTCCAGAAAGGGCATGAGCGCTCCATTCTCCCCCCTGTGCAACTCCTAGTTATGGCTGTTGTGGAATCTTATCCTTTATGATAAGTGGCGAAATGTAAGTACAACGCTTTCCTGACTTTTGTGAGCAGTTCTAGCAAATTATGAAACTTCAGGAGGAATTGTGACAACATAGGATTTATAGTCATGCTACCAAAATACAGATGGCCCAGAGTTACAACTGTTATCCCAAGCAAAGATAATCTTTTAGGACTGAGCCCTTTTAACTTTCTGGGATCTACACTAACTCCAGGTAACTGGTGTAAAAATTGATTTGAATTTTGAATCCCATTGCTGCCAGAGAATAAGAGAATTGGAGAATCAATTAGTCTGGCAAAAAATAAAAGTAAACAGTGTAAGAACAAAAATTGAATTTTAACATTAGCTTGTTTATTTGTTTTTCTTTTATAAATGGAGCCATTAATCCTAGCTCATTCCATGAGTACTATGGGTCATGAATGAGATTAAACAAAGAAGGTGTATAAAATTATTAAAACACCCTCCACTATAGAGAAAAATAACCTTATACACATGTTCTAATGCTGATGAGCTAGTAGCTTTAATTTACACATGAAGGATCAATTATTATCTTCACCTTTCATGTACTTGAAGACTATTAGCATATCTTTAGACAACTGATGCTTAACTAAACAATACAGTTTCTGTTCCTGCAATCTTTCTTCATAACTCAGTGAGTTGATTCCATTAATCATTCTGTTCTTCTCAGAACTCTGTTAAATCCCTGTGTATATCCAGTATTAAAGTAAATAAACCAGAGAGAAACAAAGCTGGTGTTGCTGGAGTCACATGTCGCTCCCCCTCTTCATGGAGGAACGACACTAAACCCTGCCTAGGCTTCATATCCGAGTCACGGCACCATTATGTCGCTCCCCGTCTTCGTGGAGGAATGACACAGGACCCTGTGTTGTTCTTTCGTCTGCTCGGCCCTTCCCGGGTTTGCTCCTGGTTCTTCCCGGGTTGGCTACCTTCCCTTCCACCTCCGTGGAAGGGCGGTTCCCCCTGCCACCTTCCCCACTTCTGCAGGGGAGCGGCACACCGCCGGCCAGCTCTCTCAGGGGCTGCACAGGTGTTCCCCTTAGATGTTCCTGGTGCATGTTGTCTCTCTCCTCCTTTATAGTCCTCTTCCACCAATCCCAACTCTGCTACCCACACGCCGAGTACACTGCTCTCCTCCAATCAGGAGCAGGTCCTGCTGTTTATTGGTTGAACTGGGGGCAGCTGTGTAGAAGCTGTTTCCTCCTCTCCCAGCGCCATATTGTGGGAGAGCAGATGCATAGAATAAGTCTTAATTCCAGTAACTTAGTCTAGTCCCAGTTGCTCCCAACAGTCACAAGCTCTTTTGATTGCACCAAAGGAATGAGTCATTCTTACTCTTGACTCCGGAAGCCATGGCCAGTCATTCCATCCCTGATGATCAGGAACCACATGGCTCTCAATTGTTGCTCAGCTCAGCTCTTGTAGACTGAGTCTGAAAAGTATTCTGTCATGTGAACGTGACAACAGCTTTAGAAAAATCCAAGTCTTGACCCTCCCCTAAAATATGAAAAGGGACATTGTTCTAGAACACATCTCTGGATAAACACCTCCTTTCTTTTAGTGTTCTGCAATCTATTTGTCTTTCTGTGTTTTTGTGACTGAACACCATTTCCAGGTCTCTTTTGGTGATTTGTTTTCTTTTTTTTTTATTTAATCTAGGTACCTGGGCTTTAACTTTTGTAATTCTTTTGCTGGCGCGCAAGTCCTTTTATTTTTTCTTCCAATCTTTTATATTAATAGTTTCCCACAAAAGAATTATAACCTATCTAACCACACCTCAGATACTGTAGACACTACTTTACATGCATAATTTCCTATAGAACTCAAAAAAAATATAGATAACTTGTCACTTAGTCTGAATAAGAGAAATGAATGAAAAACAGAGGTGAACAAGCAATAAATAACACATGTTCAGTAGGAATTTGGGTTGTCTTGACTCTGTTATTTCTATAGCAACTCCTAGTCCATGGTCCAAATTCTAATTGTGCATTTACAATATTTGCCTAATTTTTACTATGTTTAACTCATTTAATGAATTACTTGTAGAGTTACAAAAGGCACCATTTTTATTAACCAAACTTCAGCCTGGTGTGTATGTTCTGATATCTCTATATTGTTAGATTTCTCTATATTTCCATTATAATGAACATGGATTCGAAGGTGGGTTCCATGCATCTTTCTGATTCTGAGATTTAGCTTTATGAAATTCTATCATACCTGTATAACTATGAAAAACAAAAGAAAGCAGGCTGCTTGTGTGTGCATGTATTTTTGTGTGCTTGTTTGGGTGAATACACTTTCATGAACACTAGACTCTTATTACTAGTGCTTCTCTTTACAGCTATTCAAGGAAGAGATCACATCATGAGTTTCTCATATACTCAGAGCTGTTTGATTCTAAAGGTTATTTATATTAAGGATGGATTTGTTATAAAGGTGAGTAAGGCAATCTTTTCTTGCTCTTACTCTCTCTTCCCTTCACTAATGATTTAGTCAAGCTCTTGTATTACCAGGCCTCTAGAACTATGAATCAAATAAAAATGGGTAATATTACCCAATCTCAGGTTTTGGATTAAGAAAATAGGCTATGATGTGTAAAGTGATATTCTTATTCAAGTTTAGGAAATTTTAACCACTATTTCATTTAATATTTTTCTATCACAGTCTATGTCTTACTTTCTTGTTGCATTCCTGTAAACATACATTTATAAACTTGATGGTATTCCATGTTTCTCTGAAGCTTAATTTTTGTGCATTTTTTTCTGTTCCTTTTGACTTAATCAGCATTGGTCTCTCTTCAGTCTTGCTAGATCTTTTATCTGTTGGATCATATTTAGGGCTGAACCATTTTAGTAAATGTTTTCACAGTTATAATTTTCATCTCTAGAGTTTAAATTGGGTTATTGGTAATTTTTATCTCTTTATTCCTGTTATTTCTTTGATGAAATAGTGTAACAATATTTCCCTTTACTTCTTTAGAGGTACACCTTTACTTCTTTGAAGATATTTATAATGGTTGCTTTGAAGTCATTCTCAGATAAATTCTATATCCAAGTCTCTTCCAAACCAATTTACATGGTCTTCTTCAATTTTTGTAGGCATATTTCTATGGGTTATAATTTCCTATTTGTGACCTCCATGTTTTTTTGTTGTTGTTGAAAATTGCCCTCCCCCCACAACCTGGGTAGGTGGTGGTAATTGGTAGTAGTGTTACTTCTTTGCTTGTATGACTAGTTGAATTATCTCTATTTTCTTAATTATTTACAGAGAGAGAGAGAGAGTCCCCATGTGCTGGCTGACTTTTACAAATAACTCCAAGTCTACCACTTGGGTGGCAGAGACTCAAATTTTTGAAGTACCACCTCTATTAGCAGGAATCTGGGATTGGCAGCAAAGCCAGAATTTGAATTTCTCACTCTGATATGGCATATAGTTATTAAAAGGACTTCTTTACCACTGTACCAAATACTTATGTCTGAACAGTGCTGTAGTCAATGTTTTCTATGATATTTTGCCTTCTTTGTTCCTTTTTCAAATTTTTTATTGTTTATATTTTCTAGGTTAGTGATGGTTTAGCTACCTATTGGTAAGTCCTGGTTCAATTAAACCCCCTATAGTCCAAGGTAATGTTTACATATCTTTAATCAGTAAAATGTTTTCCTTTACTGCTGCAACTTGTATGTGTGTCTGAGTTACAGTCTACTCTCACAGCTTATGGAAAAATTTATGATTTTGTCCACATCAATGCAGCAACTAATATTTTGCTTCATTTTATAAATATGAACACCATATTTCAAGAATTAAATCAAGGCAATGTAACTTTTTAGGTGCATCAGAATCATGGGTACAGTTTCCTTAAACCTATCCACCACATCTCAATATTG